TCAGACTTATTTTAGATTAGTTTTGTATTCACCATGTAGTTTCATTAAAAAAGTGGTGAGGAAGTCTGTATTTCATGACCCGACCAGGCTGCATGCCATCCATGGGTTATATGTTGTTGTTCTCCCAGTTCATTAGAGCTGGCTGGAAAACTGAATTTCTCATCCATGGAAAATTTTGATTTTTTTTATTTGGCAAAAATAAACAAACTATCTTTCTGAATTGGGATAAAATGTAGGAAAAAAACAGATTTTTTTCATAGAAGAGAAAATTCCATTTGGGGAGAATAGAAACTGAATTTTTGGGTGTTCTCCTGGGTGCCCAACTCCCTGGGCAGCTGCCTCCCAGAGGCTACTTGACTTCACAGGGACCTGGCTATCTGGGGAGTCAGGAAGACCCAGGAGGCATCTGCCTGGGGAGTCAGGGAACCAGCTCAACAAACAGCTGCCTCCCCTTGCTGCCTGAATCCACGGGGAACAGGGAGCTGCCCAAGGAGTTGGGCAGCCCAGGGTATCAGCTTCCCAAAGAGTCAGGAAGCTGGGCAAGCCCAGGTTGGCCAACCTGCCTGACTGGTTTCCGTCAAAAGTTTTGACAAAATTGACACATTCCCATAGAGTGTTTTGATTCTGTCAAATCAGCATTTCCTGACAGAAAAGTGTTCCACTGTAAAAGCTTCAGCCAGTTCTGCACTTAGGTGGTTTTGATAAACAATTACTATCATTTAACTACTTTTGTGATCATCTGCGTCTTGTACTAATTCTTAGGTGCCTCATAGGTACACTGTTGTGGTACACTTTGAGGTTGTGTGAGAGGACAGCAGCTTGTTCTCTGCTGGCAAAGGAAGAACCCCAAAGTGCAGAGCTAGGGTTTGATTTAGATAAATATTCTCATGACCATGATGACCTCTTGCATCTGCAAACTTAGGCTGAAAAGCTAGTAAGAAAAAGCTTTCTTGTGACATTTCCAGCTGGGCCTACACAATTGGGTGGAGGACAGGATCCTGAACATTGCAGAACCTTATAAAGATTGAGTTCTGTTCTGGAAATAGATGTTGATTTTGGGATAGGGAAGGGTGGCTTTTTTCCCTAGAGAAAGATCAGGCCAAGACACAGGATATAAGATCCCCTGAACTTTCATAAAGTTTTAATCGAGATGTGAACTTTGCAGTTAGGGAAGCCCTATAACTTTTTCCATGTGAACATCCGCTATACGTCATCTCCACTTTTTGTGTTGCAGTTTACCTAAAATCTTTGTATTGATTTCAGAAGATCCCAAGGCCCCCCATTTATGGTATGTTAGCTTATTTGACACAACTGACTAATTGCTGTGACTTTCCTAGATTAGCCCATTGGGGTTTTACATAGTTTGCTGTTGTAATGAAGTTAAGCCAAAGTTCTTCATCAGGAAAGCATGGGATGAATTTTTGAGGTTCAGACATGTACCATATGCTACAACACAGATTACAGGAAAGCAATAGTGTTTTAATTCATTTTGCTTTACTTCCATTCATGGATTGGAAGGCTGAACACGTTTCAGCTTTAAATGCTTTAGAGGTAGACAGGTTGGATTTTCATTACTTCTAAAAATGTAGTTTCTTTCTTTCTTTTACTGGAATGAGAGGCTTTAAAACCTATGTGCTGTAAAGCTGGCAGACTCCTAAAAGTTCTCTACCAGTTCACCCAGCTCAGTGAAAGAGCAGGTATCTTCAAGCTTGTTTAACTTTTGTTCCTAGGCTCATAATTAAAGATACTCAAATGCTTCTGCTTTCAAACAGGTCACATCTGATTTAATCTAAAACATTCCCTTTGTCTCTTCTTAACCTGGCCTTGTCCTCCCCCCCACACCTACACACACTCTGCCATTATGAAAGCTGAAAACAAAATAGTGATTATTAATCATTCATTACTTAAAAATCCATAGGCGTCTACATCTAGATTTCTAATCCTGGTAACAGAAAATATTATTTCCATCACTCTCATTCAAGACTATTTCCTTCTTATCTTTAAAAATATTGTAATAGTAATAGCCTTTATGATATGGGTGTCCCTCTGTATTAGATTTAATAGGTTTGTGGTATGCACTCTTCAAGTTAGGTCATCCATCTTTAGATACTGACTTGGCCCCTATTATGTGAGCACATCATTCTTTAGTGTATTTATCCCCACAAGAGGTAGGGAGTTCTATTCTTCCCATTCTACAGATGGAGAACCAAGGCACAGAAATACTAAAGGCCAAATTTTTAAAGGTATTAGATGCCTAAAGAAGCAAATAGGCACTTAGTGTGATTTTCAGGTGTGTTTAGGGACCCAACTCCCATTTAAATTGATTGATTTCAGTGGGAGTTAGGCATGCTTGTCTGCATCTACAGGTACCTAAATACCTCTGTAAATGTGGTCCTAATTGATTTGCTCATGGTCACACAGGAAGTGTGCGGCAGAGCAGGGGCTTGAACCCAGAGCTCCCAAGTCCGATGCTAGCATCCTATTCACTTCCTCTCTGAGAGTCTGTTCCAGTAACAATAAGTTTATTTTGATTATTAGGTGTCATCTGCTAGGACAGTGACCTTTGCCAAGTCTTTTCCCTCATTCTTGTGCCCTAAGGCTATCAGCAACAAATAATAGTAATAATAACAAATTAGATGTAATGACACAGTCATAGGCTGCTTTCATTGGTGTGTTAACTGGACCTGTCAACTTTTTCCTTTGCAACTGTTTGTTTTTAATCTGACTATATATCACTGGTATCTAACACTTGCAAAAAAAACCCCAAAAAACAAATATCTTTCCATATTTAATGTTCCTATTACCCCATCTAAAAACTATCCTATTCATTAGAAATCATTCAAGCCCTTGCTCATGCAACCCCCTCGTCTTCTCACTGTCCACATAAAAAAATACTCCTACTCATATCACACAAAGACATCTGCACAACTTTAAATTTCTACTCAACCTCTTTTTCCTTAACTTGAAACGTTAAACCAAAGTACTGAAATTTGCTGCAAGGAAAGTAATGATGCTCAAAAAGGAATTCAGTGCAACAGGAAAGAACCATTTTAATTAGCTGACATAATTGCATTGTTTAGGTTTCTTTTAAAAATCAATGAAGTGGCTGAAAATGATTTTACTAATGTCTTCATGCCCTTAAAGCCCTCACTAGGCAGCCTTCACTCTCTCACCCTTTTGAAATTATTATAAAGACAATCATTAATGGGAAGGGGGTAAACATAACCCTTCTCCAGCGGAGTAAGAGGTAGGAGGGCTGCATGCTATGGGTGTGCCTTCAGTGGTGACAAAAACAGGTTTCAAAGCTGGTCACAAAGCAAAATCCTCTCCCTGTCTCTTATCTTCTTGTGTTTCTTATTCTTTCTGAGCTTGAGTAGGCCAGGAAGATATGCCACAAGCGCACTTCTCTCCTCCCCCAATCTTTCACTCCCTCACTCCTCAGTACAGAACACCACTGATCTCTTCACCAGTTTAGTAGAAGTATTTTGTGCCTGCTTGTGCTCAGTCAGGCACAAATACTCAAACCAAAACAAAAACTTCCCAACCCAAGCCATTTCCCATGGGTCCTTCTGCCCCTATATCTCCTGACAATGTAGCACACACATTATGATATCTAATGTTTTTAGGTATATATAATTCATGCTTGTCATTGACTACAATGATTATTTTAGATATGTAAAATCTAATAAACATTCTGAGAAGGTACAGTTTAAAATAACCAAAAAACTGGGCCCCATCCTCCCATAGTGGTAATGCAGTAACCCAAAATCCAACCACTTATAAGCATTGTGATGGGACATCCCACTGATAGAAAGGTTAATGAGCATACCTGTGCATAGGCAGTGCCAATAAGGTGCATCTACACAACATGCTCTACCTGGAGATGGGGAGCTTTAAAAAGCTGAAGCTTCCTACAGGGATGGGGAGTTTGCCCAGGAAAAGAGGCTGCCAATGCGCTCCAGTAGCAAGGGGAGCCCAGCCTTGGGTAGTAGCTGGTCTTTCTTCTCTCTCTGCTGCTTGTTTGGCTGCACACTGACACTGCAGGCTTGATATGGGTAAAGCGCCTGGAAGGCTGCTCTCACCTGTGGTGGGAATGCCTCCAGGGTCTAGAGGTAATTGGATCAAAAAGGATCCTGGGAGTGAGCTGGACTTCTGCCTGGAACTGTGAGATTGCCCCAGGATTGGGAGGCTCCTGTAGGAGACCCAAGGGCAGCTCCATCCCGTGTGGAAATTGACTGCCCCTCATTGACTAGTGGTTTATACTAACCCGAACCACTCTCCACTCAACACCAATGATACCCGAGCCTATTAATCTTACAGGACTGGAGATGACTCAACACCTCTGAGTGGATTGTTGGTACAGCTGTGGAAATGGCAGAAGTCTTTAATACGACTGACCAGAAAGGTTGATTTCTATGCTCTATACAATACAATTGTAGATGTTGAAAACTAAAGAGAAAAGAGGAAACTTGCCAATTATTCATAGGAAAGGGATTCTTCTTTTTATTGAGAAGAGAAGTAGCATCTATCTCTTCTGGCTGAGGTTAGTGACAGAATGTGAGAGGCACTGCCTACTACTACTGCTAATGTTGCTATCCATTCCACCATGCCCCACATATGCCTTCTCTTGCCAAGCTTGTAACAACAACAGAAACTGATTGGCTTTTGCGCTTGCTCTGAAAATCAATGATAGGTTTCCTTGTTGCTGGCACAGAACACATTGCAAAGATACTGCTCTTCTCTTTTGCCCCTCCTCTCACTTCTCTGTCTTCTCCTGAGTGGCTGAGAGTTTAGGCCCTGATTCTGCAGATATTATACATGTGCTTAACATTACACACACGAGTAGTTCCATTGAAAGGCTACCTTACTCTACATGGACATAGAAGACAGAAAGATGAAGACTGACCAATGCACACATCTTTCCTGTAATAGGATTTTTTAAAATACATCATGAATTCAATCCTGCAGCCCTTACTCAGGCAAAATACCCATTAACTTACTTCAGTGAATGAAGAATGGATTAAGCTTCAATGATCAGGTCTTCAGAACCAAGCAGAAAACTCCACGGTCCCTGAGACTTCACCCTATGGGAAAACTTCTGCTCAAGACCCTCCTTGATGTCCTGTCCCAAACAAACAATACAGAAAAAGGTACTCAATATTTTGTTTCTTTTCAGGTCCAGACCAAACACCAAAAGATCTCCATTGCTATTTCCAAATGTATAGAATACCCATTGCCATAGCAGCTAAATCGCAGCTTTTGGCAGTAAAACTTATTTTCTTGAGTCATGCACCTCAGTTCTTTCTTTCCAAGCTCTTCATTGCTGTGTCTGAATATTGCTGATCACATGTCAGTAAGTGAAAATGTAAATGGAACTTACCCTTTGACTTTCAATTCCTTCCCATCTTCTTATGCAAAATTTTTTTGTTTTTATTAAGTACAAAACAGCATCACTGGCTTTAATTAAAAAAAAATACCCAACCCGCACCTTCCCCCACGCCCCTTTGGCGTCAGTTGGGAGGTGCGGGGGGAAGCTGTGCTAGTGGAATTTCAGGCTTTTAACTTAAAAAGCCAAAATGCAAACATTTCTGTTAATATGTGAATTGGGCTACATAGTGGTAGCAGCAATCAATAAAAATATTCCTTCCGAGAAACCACTAACAGACAATTTGGAGGATCAAGAGGTAAACAGTAAGAAATAGCCAATCTATTGTATGAAAAAACGTGCCAGTTCTGTAATGAAGAATCTCATTGCTAAGGAGATTCACTCTAGGAGGCTTAATGTGTGTATTCTTAGGAAGATGAAATCAAGAGAGGAACTCAAGAAGCAGCAAATCAAATGATACCTTCTGTAAAATGTGTACTTTGTTCCTTGGTTTTTGGGGATGCAGAGACATGAAACTTTTTTTAAAAGAAAAGGGACCCTGGCAGCTCTGGTCAGCACTGCTGACCGGGCCGTTAAAAGTCCAGTTAGCGGGCTGGCAGGCTCCCTACCCGACTCTGTGCAGCTCCCTGGAAGGGGCAACATGTCCCTCAGCTCCTAGGAGGAGGGACAGCTGGGGGCTCCATGCATTACCCCCACCTGAGCGCCGTCTCTTCAGCTCCCATTGGCCAGGAACTGCAGCAAATGGGAGATGTGGAGGCAGTGCCTGCAGGTGGAGGCAGAATGCACAGCTGCCTGGCTGCACTTCTGCCTAGGAGCCAAGGGACATGTCACCACTTCCGGGGAGCCCCTGGAAGTGAAGTGCCACCTGGAGCCCTCACCCACTACCCTCCCACACCCCAACTCCTTGCTCCAGCCCTGAGCCCCCTCTCACACCCAAACTCCCTCCCAGAGCCCACGCTCCACACCCCCTTCTGCACCCCTGCCCTAGCCCTGAGCCCCCTCCCGCACCCAAACTCCCTCTGGGAGCCTGCACCCCTGCCCAGCCCAGAGCCCCCTACTACACCTGAAGCCTCTCATTTCTGGCCCCACCCTGGAGCCTTCACCCCCAGCTGGAGCCCTCACCCCCTCCTGCACTGCAACCCCCTGCCCCAGCCTCGTGAAAGTGAGAGAGTGAGGGTGGGGGAGAGCAAGTGATGAAGGGGGGATGGAATAAGCGGGGTATGAGGCCTCAGAGAAGGGATGAGACAAGGGTGTTCAGTTTTGTGCAATTAGAAAGTTTGCAACCCTACAAATGCTTATTATGCAAAAGTGAGAGAGAAGTCCACCTTAATGGTAAAGTTGGTTTCTGGTTGATACATATCTCTCATCTTAGAGTTTGAAACAGGCATTTTACCTTTTGGATCTCAGTATTAGTTAAATGTCACCAGTCAACTTCTTCAGGATCGATAACACTTATGGAACGATTACAATTTCTGCTGTGCTTGGCAGGCCAGATAGTTGATTAGTCCATCAGATATGAATTGCTTCTGATTTTGTCTATACAGTTGCAACAGGAAAACACATAGAAAATGGCCTCTTTCCAGGCTTGGATTACTTCTGCTTCATCAACTGGAATCTGTATTCCAAATGTGTACCTCGAACTTTTATCAGGCTATATCTTGGAAGTGATCTTCTAAAACTTCTACACTTTCTAGTGTTCATAGTTTTCTTTGGTTGACTGTCATCAGGAAAGAGCTATGAAAGCAAGTAATGAATGAGAAGAGTGGAGGATGGTCTTGGCTTTTTTATTTTACTAGTAATTATTATTTGTAGTATAGTAGTACCTAGCAGCCCCAGCTAGGTCAGGCATCCATTGGATTAGGTGATGTATTGACGTATAGCAAGAGTAAAAGACTGTCCTGCCCCAAAGAGCTTACTGTGTTATCTCTGAATTTACCTCCAAATTTCATTCCATCAGAAGGAATAATGGAATAACTGGACTTCAAATGTGGTTGAAATGAATTTGTCCCAGTAACACTGTTTCTGCATAGACACAGTTGGCAGGAATCAGGAATTACAGTAAGGAAGCTTACCCAATAGAGGTTAATTAAGCAGAAAGGAAGCAAAATACTCTCCCTAAAATTTTAATATATGAGGATTTCCAGGGTTTCCACTTTCTGCTCATGAATGCAGTGTCATGTCATACTAAACCCAGGGTTGTGAGTTCAATCCTTGAGGGGGCCACTTGGGGATCTGGGGCAAAACCAGTACTTGGTCCTGCTAGTGAAGGCAGGGGGCTGGACTCGATGACCTTTCAAGGTCCCTTCCAGTTCTAGGAGATGGGATATCTCCATTAATTTAATTTAATTTAAAAATTTACTCAGAATCCCAACTGGTCTGAATGGTGTGCAAGGCTTTTTACTAGAAGCAAGAAGACTCCTGAAAGCTTTTGAGGAGTAACTAAAACAGGCTCATGCCTTGTGTACTGTATTTAACAAGCTAATTAGTTGACATTCATTTTCAAGTATGCTGTTCACAGTCAAGTTAAGGTAATGTGCAACACACATTATGCTGCCCTGATTCTGACTACTTTGGTTTATTGCTACTACTCTGAGGCATGAATAACGCATATTTAAAACCCTGAGAGGTGTTGCAAGTATTAAGCAAGCATCCATTCCCAGCTTTGTCTGACTCTTGAGTTCTCTGCAATTTAAATCTCTCCACTGTAGTGAGCATATCCAGTTAAACAGCCAACTGTACTCTGATGTTATTATCTAGGAAAATGTCTTCCCTTGGCTTTCTCTCTTCTCTCCCTTCTTCACCCTTATCAAAAATACTACCCCCCCTCCCCCGCATTTTTTTAAAGGAATTGTTGCTCAGATACTTGCAGGCTATTTGCTTCCATTTAATTTTAATAATAAATAATTGGATTTTAGTAGAAACCCTATATCATGATTTATTTTATATTATTTATTTGTATTTATGTAGGATTTTGTTAAGTCTCTGTAGTTACAGGTAGCTACTAAGCTAGTCTAGTGAGTCATTTCCCTTACACTGACTCCCACTGATATAATTCCCTTGGTACATATCCACTTATTTAAGCAGACCGGCAATATCGCGAGAAATCATATCTCATTATTTCCCTTTGCTCAGATATGTGAATATTTCAAAGATGGAGCTGAATCAAAAGAAAAAACTAGCCCCTGGTGGGGTCAGTTGGCCAGGGCAGCTGCAGGCAAGCACACAGGTGAAAGTGAGTTTTAATCATGCAGTTTGATGCAAAACTCTTATAAACTAGGCTTGGTTCAGAATGCAAACAGAAACGTGATGAAGAAAATGTCCGCATTAGTGCATTCACACCTACACAATCCCTTGAGCATGATTTGCCTATGTGATCAGAAATGGAGCATTGAAATCATGGTAACCTCTCAACTCTAGTGGAGGAGGCAGAAGCCATACTTGACTTAATATTTAGAGGCAGCTAAACTAAATAGACATTATTAGTAGTTGGCATTGGGCTGATAACTTATTCATCGTGGACATTTGAGGACCTCACATTTCCCCCCTCAGCATTTAGAAGGCATGTAACTGGATCAAGTAGAATTTTATTTCTGGAATGTTCAAATGTGGGTTGTAGTGGCATTTTGTTGTTAAGAAATCAAACGCCAGCAATGTACAAAGTGTAAAGGAATGCATGTAAATGCTGGAGATCAAAGAGTTAGTCTTCTATGGGGATTATCTAATGTCACTACTTTCTTCCCCACTTATCTTTACAGCATCATCCTCAATATAGTGGAATTTCTTTTTATATTCGTTGATATACTAGAATGCACTTGCATTTCCTCCAAGTCTGCAGAGTTGTCTGCCATTATGGATTCCTAAAGAACCCAGAGGGACAGCTTCAGGTAAACCATGGTGTTTTTTCAGTAGACTAAAATGCATAAAAACTTTGAGATAAATGAAATTCCAGTTGCAGAACTGAAAAAAGAAAATCCTGACCTCACATGCTTCCTTTTCTAAATAGCATTGTGTTGCTTCATTCTGGCTTTTCCCTTAAGGTAAAACCACATCTAGTTTGGTAAAATGCTCAGCTTTATGGCTTGTCAGACCAACAGATAAAGCCACAATCTCTTGGTATATGATTATTGGAAAGATTTATTCTGCAGGTTATATTGATCTATGTAGTAATTTACAATCTATTTTTTTAAAAATCTCATAGTTTAAAAAACCTGCTAAAATTGCATTAAAATATTTATTGCACGTACTTTGCCAATATTTGAGAAAGGTTTCAGTGATTTGGTCACTCAACTGTGTTTGCTGGTAAGCAGTAGCAGGGCAGGTGGATTAATTCCTTGCTATCTGCAGGTCATTGGGTGACCAGCATTCTGAGACGCTGTCCTAAAATCTCCTGCAGGTAGTTTGGCATGTCTCTACTAATCATTGTGCCTGAACAACCTTGCTCTCACATGGCTCACACACCCACACGCTGTCACAGCCTCAATTTTTAAATAAAAAGAAGCTGACAGCAATAAGGAATTTAAAAAAAAATGTCTATTAGAAGAAGGAATTGTGTGCAACTGTCTTGGAAGGAACTGAGTTTGCTTGGAGAGAGCAGTGGAGAGGATTCAATCTCCCTTTCTTTCTTAAATACATGACTTGCTGCTGCTAAACAATGAACTTGGATTAGACTGGTATTTCTCCTTATAGCCCTTTCCTATTGTCAGATCTTTTTCTGGGGAAACGATGGGGAACAGGAGAAAGCCTTCTGCCTCATTTCATGTGTTATTATTTTATTGGGTGGAGGTCAGAGGCTTTCCTTGCCTGGGGGAAAATAATCCTCATCAAGGAAACAAACACTATATAGCTGATGGGTGAACCTCAGAGTCAGCCTGGATAGCTATAGACTGGTCTGGATGTTTGTGAGAAGAATGAGCTTCTTCCACCTTTGTTGTTGAGAGCTTCTCCCTCTGCTCTGGTGCCAGGTTTGTGCAGCCCTCTGCCCCCATCTGCAGGAATCATTATTAGGGAGGCTCTACAGCCCAACTTCCTCTTGGCAGCAACCTTCTCCACAGTGGAAGTGCCACTCAGCTTACTACTGGAGAAGTCTTCATGGCCTTGTTATCATCCTCCACTCCAGGACTCTTTCAGGGGGAAGTTCTGAACCTTCCACTCCAATGACATTTTTCTTAGGGTGTTGTGACGTTATTGATATAATCTGGGACCACATAGAACATGGTTGCAACCAAAGTCCTGTAGTGGCACCAAATCTTGTATAAAGGGGGTCAAATGAGGTATCTAAAACAAGGTTATGGTTTGCTGGTTATGATTATGCTGTCTATATGTGTGTATCAATTTTGTAGTTGAAGTTATGAATATTAGCTCTATACTGTCTGTATTTCAAACTTATGCTATGCTTCTGGGAAACATCCCAGACAAGTTGGTGTTAGCTCTGCCTAGCCTGCTTGATGGCCCATTAAGGACCATCAGCTATACAATTGACCTATTGAGAGAAGGCAAATACGCCTTGCAATTCAGCAAAGTATGCAGGGACTGGCCCATGTGACTCCAGACTCCATTTTGCTGTAATTTTCCACAGTAAGGACAAAGAGGTGTTCTTACACCTGGAAAGGACTATAAAAGGCTGATGCCTCTCCTTCATCTGGTCTTCAATCCTGCTTCATACCTCTGGAGGAACTTTGCTATAAACTGAAGCTCTGAACAAAGGACTGATGACCCATCACAGCTGGGGATAGGCTGACCAGATCACAGAAATGAAATATAGGGAGGGCGGGGGGGGGGGGGGAGGGGGGAAAAGAAAGAGTCCCTCTGGGAGGGCAAAATTGCTTGTTTGTCCAGTGTCCCGACATGGGTCATGACGTGGGACAAACAAATATTGGGACAGTCCCGATAAAATCGGGATTTCTGGTCACCCTAGCTGGGGATGTATTCCAGAGACTTGATTTTGAACCTGCAGTGATGAAATAAACTGCTACAAGCCTGAACCAAGAACTTTGCCATTACTGTATGTAATTGATTCCATTTAACGAATTCTAGCTCTCATCTCTATCTTTTTCCTTTTATGAATAAACCTTTAGATTTTAGATTCTAAAGGATTGGCAACAGCGTGATTTGTGGATAAAATCTGATTTGTATATTGACCTGGGTCTGGGGCTTGATCCTTTGGGATCAGGAGAACCTTTTTTCTTTTTAATACGGTATTGGTTTTCATAACCATTTGTCCCCATAACGAGTGGTACTGGTGGTGATACTGGGAAACTGGAGTGTCTAAGGGAATTGCTTGTGTGTCTTGTGGTTAGCCAGTGGGGTGAGACCAAAGTCCTTTGTCTGGCTGGTTTGGTTTGCTTTAGAGGTGGAAAAACCCCAGCCTAGGGTTGTAACTGCCCTGTTGGAGCAATTTGTCCTCAATTGGCACTCTCAGTTGGGTCCCGCCAGAACCGCATCGTTACAGGTGTGACATGTCCATGGTCATCCCATTGCCTCCCCCATTTCCTGGAAGCTTTGTTTTTTGGAAAAGGTTGTATACTGTTCATAATCCTCCCCCAGCACTGTTCTTAAGGCAGAGGATTCGGAATAGTTCATGCCTGACTCCCCCATAACCTTCTTCCAGTAAATGTGCTTTCTGCGGCAAATTCTGCATTGCTGCCAAGTGCTTCCTTTCCACCAATGTATTGGCGGGGAAGCTGAAAGCACTAATTCTTACCTGTGTAAGATGTAGACAAATTCTGCCCCCAGTTGCATGCACATGACTTACTAGCATAAGAGCAGCCATACTGGGTCAGACCAAAGGTCCTTCTAGCTCAGTATCCTGTCTTCTGACAGTGGCCAATGCCAGGTGCTTCAGAGGGAATGAACAGAACACTGAATCATCAAGTGACCCATCCGGTGTCGCTCATTCCCAGCTTCTGGGAAACACGGAATTCTAGCAATTATACATGAAGTTATTGAAAGTGCTTCATGAAATTCCATTGGCTTCAGCCAAAATGTATGAGGGTTTCTTATACAATAGATTTCCTCTGAGATCAAAACTGTGTACACTACCTTCATTACTAAATAAAAAACACTTTAAAATACAGTATAAAGGACAGGTATATCCGTTCAAAATGCAGGGGCTAAATCAGTGGCTCTTAAAGTTTTTCAGATAATGGACCATTTCTTAGGATAGAGAATCTGTTTTGGACACGCACACCTTCCCACCCCTCATCCTTTAGCACCTAAGGTTTAGCTCATATTAAGACACTGTTACAGAGACTCAATGAAAATAAACTCGCTTTAACCCTAGGGGTGCAGCTGTCTGTTTGCATCCTCTCATTTTGTGTCTTTTACTTACCTGGGTGTAGGACTTCACACTTTTTCGTGCTGAATCTCCTCTTGTTGTCTGCAACCCCACCTTGTTGTTTTATAGTTTTAGATCTGTCCTACGTTGTCTGTGTACAATTATTGAGTCAACCACAAATTTGAAATGTGGTTAACTGTACAGCAAAGGCCCACTGAAGGGAGTCCTTGAAGGGTGCAGAATGATGCTTGCTTTTTTTTCCACACCAACCAAACCTCTGGAAACGGTAAAAGGATCCTGACCGGTGTAACTGCTTGAAGGTGACAGACACTTCAACACTGAAGAAGACCTGAAGAGCTCTTCGTAGCTCAGAAGCTCCTTTCTTTCACCAACATAGGTTGGTCCAGTAAAAGATACTAACTTCACCTACCTTGTCTCTCTAACTTCAACACTGTGACAGAAGCAGCTCCTCAGACCACCAGTGCTCCATGCACCACAGTTTGAGAACCACTGGTCTAACTTAAATGAACTATAGCAAGAAAATTCAAACTTAAAGTCAATGCTTTTTATTCTTAGCATACCTTTTTGGCCTGGATTTTACAGGCATCAGTGAAAACCGATAAATATCTACACATCTGGTATAATACCAGGTGTCAACAGGACCAGTTAGGCATGAAGGCTTCCTCTCGTTTCTGAAAATCCTAAGTGTTGATGGGCATTAAGCCATTCATTGTCCTGAAACGTGTTTGGTATTTAACAGATATACTGCATTTTACTGTTTTGACTCTGCCAGTATGTCAACCTTCCCTTTGATATTCCAGGAATGATGCTCATTTGTGGCTACTTGCTGAGGCCAAGGAGGAAGGATGAGTATCTTTCTTTGGGAAGATGCGGTGATCAACACCATCACCTGTACTCACTTCCTTCTTCGTGTTTTGGCTTCTTCCCTGGTGTGTGCGTTCCACAGCCTGATGGTAACCCAAATGAGACTGATAGGGGATTTTAGATTCCACAGACAATAGTAATCTTAATCCAAACAAAATTTATCAAAACCAGAGAGAAAATGGAATTAAAATAAAATAAACAATTGACTATATACACTTATCAGTTAAACCAGATGAGGCATTTTCAGTTTAGTTATAGGGCGGTGGGGGGGGGAGAGAAAAGCGAATCACTTACATCCCTCGTGAGCCAATTCCTTTTCTCTGAGTACTCTGGTCCAGCTGTCAGCATCCTTTCCTGTCCAGAGACCAACAACTCCTTTTTTCAATTAGGAAAGCTCTCTTATCAAGTCCACCCTGATCTAGGGCTACTACCCCTTACTTTCCAAAATACTACCCCCCCCCCCTTCAGTTATCTACACACACAGTATGGTTTGGACTCACTGTTTTCTTTAGGACATGGACCATTGAGGATATCAAGATCCTTTAGTGATGATTAATAGCAATCCTTCAAAGGCTTTAGGGCCTAGCCCACATATCCTCTTTCAGAGACTTCTTTGGCTATCTGTATCAATTTTAGGTAAGGCCTCTTGTTTAAACCCTCTGAACAATGTTTGTACAAAATAGACAGGTCCCAGTCTCTCCATCACAGATGCATACTATGAAATCTAGATAATGAATATTTAGCACTAGGCATTTTTCATTGCAAATTACCTTTTCTTAAATCTATTGCTCACAAGAATGTATCAATAATGGCCAAAATAAAGAGACTCCTAGGAACCAATCCTGGAACCAGTTATTCCTGCGTAGAACTTCAGTTGTTGCTCATTGACTTCAGTTGTTGTGCTGCTGCTCAGACGACTTGCTTCTATTACATTTTCAGCAGGGTCACAACTATAGTTTATTCATGTATCATATACCAAAGAGGAAGACAATGGACTGAGACACATGAGATCTGAATTCAACTGTGAGCTCCACCTTAGACTCGCTGTGTGATGCTAGGATCTTACTCTCTCTGTGCCTCAGTTCCCCATCCTCTAAAATAAGATACTAATAGTCCTTATCTCCCACCCTTTGCATCTTGTCTGTTTAGACTGTAAGCTCTTCTGTGCCAGGACACACTTTCATTGTGTGTTTGTATTGTGCCTAGCCCAATGAAGTTCTAATGTCAGGTGGGGCTTCTATATAATATGCTTGGCTTAGCAGTTGGCATATGTGCATGTGAATGTAAAATTAACTTAACCCCTTATCTCCATGTTTCATCTACATAACAATTCATGTGTCTATGAGAAACAAAGTTCTCTAAATTAGGCCAAACTTTCCTGCAGCCTCTCCTAAAATAACATTGCTTTTTTATGTCTCTATCTTCTAGTGTGGAAGAATCGTCTGATTATTTGCAAAAGTGCCTCACATGTATGTATTTAACTGATACTTGTGGAAAAAGTAAAAAAACAAACAAACAAACAAACAAAAACAAAAAACAAAAAAAAGTCTGCCTTTTCCCAGCTGTCATAGTTCTGTAAACCTCTTGGGCATCATATCAAAAATACTAACATTTAATATATTGAATCATTTGGTATACCATATTTGAAACCTTGTTGGTAAATATCTCCTCTCTAATTAATTAGTGATATAGTATATGGGCCAGCCAAAGTCATAATTTTCTAGTGGCTGCTATTCTATTAAAATGCATTTCTGAAGTTGTCAGAGAAAGAGGGCTCCTGCTAACAGCAATGAGCTGTTCTGCCCATATTGTACTCGACTGTCTGTCTTTCCATGTTGCAGAAATGTTGTCAAACTACAGAATTACTTTTGGTTTACTATACAGAAAGTAGGTGTGGAAAGTTATGCAACTTTATTTAGTACAGTATCCTTCATACAAGTTACATTCCAGAAAGCCTGACACATGAAATAGCACTATGTTTGGTTGGTTTAAATATGGTTAGTAATTAATGAGTTACAGCAAAACTTCTTATCAGCAATATTTTGTCTGTTACAGATAGAGATGAATTAATGTCTTGGTGATACGAGTTTGACAGTAAAGATGTTTATTTGTGTCTTGAAATACAACCCTTGCTACATCTTCACTCTCCCTGTTTCCTTCCCCCCACCTCCCTCCCCCTCCTATTTCCCAGATACCAATCAAATTACCCATAGGTTTTGTACTTTGAATTTAGGAAAATATCTCTCTTCCATCTCCTTCCCCCAACCCCTCTCCTTCCAAAAAGCTGAAAAATTATGACTACCCTTGAGAGGTGCACTAAGGTGTTTTCATTCAGTCATCAGTGTCCACGCTACAGCGTGAAGGAGCATGCATAAGAAGGAAAATTAAAGTAGTAAAAGGGAAATTCTTTAACAGCTCAGATGTGTCTCATCTCACTTCAATAAAGCACATCATAGTCAGATTAGATGAGTAACAGTGCACCCATTTCTCTGAAAATGTAAACACCTACATGTTTTTTGTATTTGATAGTGGTAGGGTCTGGCAATATAATTCATACAGTTCCTGGAACTGCCTCTCTCTATATGTGTGCCTTATATTGGCATCCATTTTATTATTTGTATTTCAGGAGTATTTAGAGGCTCTAACAGCGCTTAGGCTACGTTGTGTTAAGAACTGTTTGTAACGCTGCCACCCTGGTCGGGTTGTCTGCATTAGGGAGAAAATCTGGGATCTTTGCATCTTAATACATAAGCCTCTACTGCCTGAGCTAAAAGAGACAGTTCTCTTAGCCCAGGCTGTAGCAGGCTCATCAATGTTTAGTTGCCTAGCCACCACTAGAGGGGGACAGAGTGCTACGCTGAGCAGGCATGGCTTACATGGATATACACATGAGACAAGAGCTTACAATCTGAATGGAAATCACTGGGGAATTCTGCTCAAAAATATGTGGCTTGCTATGGTCCCATGTTTTTCATAAATATGACACACACATAAAAACATATTTTCAATTCTCTCTTCCCCACAAAAATATCTGAGTAAAAGGCAGTTTGGCAAGCCAAAAATGGCCTATTTCCATCCATGAATTTCCTCCCTCTCCCAGTGGGAAATGCTACGTGCAGCCTGGGTAGCTAAAAAAATTAAGTAGGGGAACATCATACTGTCTGAAACCTGCTTCTGTCCCCTTGAAGAACTCCACTAGACAGCCAGGGAGATGGGAAGGTAGAAGTGGTCTGCGGTGTTTCTGTGGATTCTGGTTTACTTCAGAATGCTGGCTAAAGTGATGCCCAAAATTTCAATTATCTTTATTTACCCTCTCTATTGTTACATTTTGCTGCATGAGATTGTGGCGGCGTTGTTTTAAGTGCCAACAGTTCATATAAATATTGGCCCTTTCCACAGGAAGAACCAGGTACTTGAGGTAAAATGTAGTTGTTTAAGATACTCATGAGACAAGTGGAAATTTTAAGAATGATCATTGTACCTGTATTCAGTGTGCCTAAAGGGCACATTTTATGTTCTGGTTACATAGTCATCCTTGTGAAGATCAAAGGAGGACTCATTTAGAAATATCACGTGCATATGCTTTATATAGTCATGTTCCTCAATGGCAACTTTAAATTCTATCTCCTCTATTGTCTTTTGTAAAGGTACATGACGTTATGACTTTGCTGTCAGTGCAGCTTGTATTGTTTTGGTGAAATGCAGTTGATGCCTAACATGCATTTACAGACCTTTCAAAGAATGTTATAGTTGCATTTTTTCTTCCTTGTTGTTTTAGAAGATATGTGATTCCGTCTATCACTGCTGCAACTTGTGATGTGGTAGTACAATGAAATATGAGGCCAGTGCAACTAAATACCTTCTTTTGTTATGTTGTGTGAAGGATATGCTACTTCTTTGATATTAGTGCGCTAATAATGTTTTAGATATATAAAAATAAAGTCAATGATCACTGTTCCTTGTCTGAGCAAGTAGTGCCAGACTGCTCTTCTAGCCTAAATAAGCAGTCTTGTGAGGTCTGTGGAAGAAAACCGTTTGGAAAAAATAACCAAACATATCCTCTTTGTGTGCACAAGTTGTTAGACAGCACACGTGAATGAAGAAGTCTTCACCCATTCCATAGCTCAGGGTGGCCAAACTTATAGGTCCTCTGAGCCGCATATGACAATCTTCAGAAGTTTGAGAGCCAGGGTGTGCCTGATGGGGCTTCAGCCCCGTGGGGCACACCTGCTGGGGCTTGGGGCTTCAGCCCTCTGGGTAGAGGGGTCTGGGGCTTCAGCCCCACTCCTGCTGACGCCTTGAGCCCCGTCAGGCACGGCTCGCTGGGGTGAAGCCCCCAAACCCCCCTTGCCAGTGGACAGAAGCCAGAGGAGACACATGGGGGTGCATATACGGTGACATGCCCCCCAGATTTTTGCCAGGGTTTGCTGGCCCCACTCAGTCACATGATGTTGCAGGGCCCCCTCTCTGCACAGCAGCTGCTGGAGCCGGCAAGCTGAGAGATGCAGCTCTGGGGAGAGGCTGCAGCAAGCTGCAGGGAGAACCCTCCTTTTGTGGCTGCCTCTCCCCACAGAGCTAACACCTGGGAGCTTTAATATGGGGCCACTGAGGGTAAGAGCAGGGACACGCCTACAGGGGCATGACTCAAACTGTTGGGGGGGGGGGCGAACCCTTACATTGTTTCCCCCAACTCTCAGCAGGCATCTGTTGTCTCTGGCAGAAGCCTCTAGCCCCACCACCCCACTGCAGGGCAGAAGCCCCAAGTTCCCTCCTCCCCCCTACCCCAGTCTGTTAGACAGAGAATGTGGGGTGGGGGTGTGGGAGGTTCCATGAGCCACACTTCAGCTGTAAAAGAGCTGCATGCAGATCATGAGCTGCAGTTTGACCAACGTTGCCATAGCTGTTCAGTTCACTGCACCCTTTGGTTATCTAACAGGTGGTACATAGACGCATGATGGGGACAAGTGAACTGGTTTGGATAAAATAGGAAGCCCCCTCATCTTTCAGCCGGAACTCAGATCAAATACAAACTGAAAATTATTTGAGATTGGGAAAAAATGTAGTTAACACTCTATCCTTTATCCCTTGGCATTATTTTGAATTTTGACATGTCCCTGGGCTTCCTAATTCCATCTGGGACCAGAAAGTGAACTAGGAGTAATCTTGTGAGTAAAGGAATGGTTGGTCTGTCCTGATTTCCAGCCCATGGATTAGAGCTGAGAGAACTAATTGGTAATTTTATACATATATTTGTTCCTGTTCATGAATTATCTTCAAGCAGCTTGCAAACATCACAAATTAATTCATTGTTCAAAATTATCTGGTGAATAATATTTTGGTCCATAGAGCTCAAGCTGGTCCTATGCAAACACTGGGTGTTAGAAATTTAAAAGATTTTTGTTTTGACCAGAAACAGATCACGTAGTATTGTTCCTATTTTCTGATTGCAGGACTGTAACTCTTAGAATCAGTTTACTCAAATTTGAAATTGCTATCCGGGACTATTACCCAATATTATCTTGCAATTTGCTGTAGCTTTGAATTCTTCCGCTAGTGCACATGTTGCTATAACATTTTGGATGGTGAAAACCATGGAGCATGAAAACAGCTGAGTAAAATTCAAAATGTTTGCGTGAATATTCACAAATGTCCCCTTACCCCCCAAGTATTTGCTTAGCTCTACTTTGGATAAACAGCCAATGATACTGATCCCAAACGGAATCTTTCGAGATTTTCACAGACAAAATGAAGTACACTTTACACTTCACAACCATGTCAATGCAAAATATCTCTATATTCATGTTCTGGTAACTATATATTTCCCAAATGGAACATTCTGAAGTAGGGATGTCCTAAAACTATCCAACAGATATAAAAGCAATGTTATAAAATAGCCATCAATTAAAAAGAGTCAAGATAAATACCAGATAAATTCTTGATTGATCATGAAGAGCACAGCAAATAAAATAAATAAAAGGTAACAGAGAGGCCCAAATTCTGCCCTTGGCTATTGCACTTGAAACTACTGTTGACTTTGAGAGTTGTACAGTTTGTGCCTACATAAGAGTAGAATTATCCTCGATCCGACTGGAGAATAAAATCATACCTGTAGCTGGTATCCTGTCTTAATTTAGGCATTGTAGCCAGAATAGTTAGCATCTGAAATTTAACCATTGTATCTGGACTAATTGGTATACATAAAAATATTATACCCAGATAATCTTTCTCCTTCTGTTGACTGGAGTATTTTTGTTTTACTGTTAGACGGTAAAAGTCCTTGGTGGGTAGTACAGCAGGCTAGTGTATTAGACACACTAATATATTCAAGTGGGATTTAGCATAAAATGTGGTGTGCTACATACACTGTATAATAGCTTTCCTTCAAAGTCAACATTTGCCACATTACCACACACAGTAGAAATGGAGATGAAGATGACATGGTATTTCTCTACATTTAATATAGTGGGGAAATAGGGATAACTCATGCCTCTGCTTGGTAACTGGCAAATATTTTTCTTAATGGCATTGCTATATACCTAAGTACAGGAAACATTTAATTCTGATAACATAATGAATATAACATGTGGCATTGCAATGTAACCATCCCCTTTATTCTCAATATTGTATGTACATACACAACAGCAGATTTTTTTTAGAGCATGACATTTTGAAAATTCCAGTAGATTCCTAGTGAAAAAGTGCATGTTGTACATTTATATAAACTACAGTACAACACACCTATTTGTACTGATAAATACACATGTAAACAAACTACTAGAGAAGTTCTAATTGCTATGCCTCATTTGCCTGCATACTTCTGAGCATTAAAGAGAATTCAGCTTAATTTTCTCACAGCCTCTATTTTAATCTCTGTCCCAGTTTTCCAAAGCCCATCTCTGCTTATGTAAATGTAACATGATCTGAGCTGCATGGGATAATCTTGATGGGAGAATAGTTTATATCATTTTAAATGAGTGAGATGCTTTGTGACATTCTTGTTTAAGTGGCATGAAAATCTGAAGTTAAGTGCTGTGTAAACGAGGGCAGAATAGAGCCCTTTGTATCTCATTTCCAACCTGTTACAGGATCATCTAGAGCTATCACCACATAAATCCCCTGAGGCTGTGCATCTCCAAGTCTCACTCTTACTATGCTGTTCCCTGATCACAATGGAAATCCACTCAATTGAGATTGAATCTCAGGGAAGTCTCACCAATACTCTCTTTCTAAATTTGAAACATCATCTCCTTATGGCCCCTTTTTACATACACTATGGTTTTCTGATAGTATTTCTGCTGAAACACCACAGAGTCTGTTTTTATGTGTGTGCTAGAGTATTTAACAGGTTTCAGAGTAGCAGCCGTGTTAGTCTAAGGGGAGACAGGAGCATCTAGTAATCAGACTAGGGAACAGTTAGCTGGGACTCCAGAGTTAGTGTATATTCCCAGCTCTGTCTGTCACTGATTCATTGTGTGACCTCAGGCAAATCGTAACCTCTCTCTGCCTGTTTACTCATCTACAAAATTGGTAAAGTTTGTAAACATTTTCACATTGTGAGATCTCAAGTGCAAGGCACTATACAGCCCCAAACTGAAATACACTATTGTTTATATAGGCGCATCCTAACTCAGAATGAATTCTTATGCCAAACTAAAAAAAAATTGCAAGCTGCTTGCAAAGAGAGACTCATACAAACTAGAATTTTAAAGTTAAAAAAAAAATGGGAAGCAGTAAACTGTAGTACTATTCTTCAGTGTGTAATCTGCACACTGAAATGTAAATAGGGGGTCAGGCTCTCCTATGGCCATGTGACCCTCTCAGCAGGAAAAGGGGAAGGGGGCGTGGAGCGAGGGAATGCATAGAGACGTGTACAAGGATATTCATGAGCTGGGAACTTCTGCAGCAAAAATAGCTTTCCTGCACAGTCAATGGTGCATAGCATTCTGTTTAAAAACCCTTATTAAATTAAGAGGAGCTCTCTGCAGCCACCAGGCTTTGCTGCTGTGTTTGTACTTCCATAATGTTGTTGAGAATACTGGAACTTAATATCAACATGAAGGTTTAGAAAAATCCAATAACATTCAGATACAACTTGATTGCTGAAGGAGCAGAGATATGGAACATGAAAACTTGGTATGTCTCACCTGAGGAAGTACCAGCTCTTCTGCTTCTCTTTGTTCATTTTATAAAAATGTCTCTCATGCATTCTTTTGTCACCACAAGACAGAGGGATTGGCAGCCAGGCACTCCTCAGTATGTTAATTACCTAAGCTTTCCTGATGGTAAAAATCAGTAGGCTTCCTTGGCTTTTCCCTCTTTTTTTTCCTTCTCAGATCAGAATACAAGTCCATCCCACCTACTGTAGTAATATTATCAGTCTGTGTATTAATACAATGTATTTGTTCATTCATAAACATATTAATTTAATCACTGCTGTACTCACCTTACTCCTGAATGTCTCTGAATGGATTTTGTGCCGTTAAAGCAACATTTTTGCTTTGCAGAATTCCTGTGACATGACAAAAACCCTATTTATTTAAAACCTAATGTGGTACAATGCCTTCCATCCCAAATATCAACTCTTATATAACCTTGAGATGGCCATTCATTCTTTCCCTGGAGAAGTTCGGGGAAAAAGGCACAGTGCCCCTCTAAATCACAAATGAAATAAGTTTGTTGGCTTGAATAGTATTTCTCCTTGCAACCCCCCACACATCTCAATGCATTCCATTAGTCATTGTTCAAATGAGGCTGCTCTCTGACCCCGGGGGAGAGGAGGAGGGAGCTTGGGGTTTAAACGCATTTGCTGATCAGTACATAGAGGGACATTGTTCTTCATTTTTTGCATGTCCTGTTTTGGGGGGGGGGGAAGGGGGAAGGAGAGAGGG